CAGGGCTGAAAGCCAACTGTGAGGAGTCTGAGAGCTTGAGCAGCAAGTGACTTACCTGCTTGACAGGACCTATGTTAAGTCTTATGCTGTGTGTAAATCTCTGGTGTAAGTACAAAGTGTTTTAGCCAAAAATTTGCCAAATGGGGAGTTTGTAAGTGCTCTTGATTGGCTGCATTTTGTGACAAAATATTAGTGCATGCATGAATGTCATGTCTGATGTTATTACATTCATAATATGGACTGTGCAGGGTAAGTTAACTAAGCTAGCTATAAGTTAAGCTGGATGTCATACTCAATGTTATGACATGGGTCGTATGACATCAAGCGCAGGTTTGTTATTCTGGTAACTAGAAACTAGGAAACAGAATATGAGCTCAAGCTGGAATGCAGGAGACATTTTAGACGCCTTAGGGGAACTAATATGTACCTGATTAAAGTGGCAAGCGTGCAGAATACTGAAGAGAGGTTTTATGATGGATAAAACCTAACTTAGGCGCCCAGGCCCAAGGACTGATCTGCTGCTATAAATACCAGGAGATGTAATCCTAGAAGGCAGCTGTTGGAGATAGAGAAGCAGAGAAATCACCATAGTGGTTTAGAAGTGAAGAGGTTGTTCTTCACGATTGTGTCTTAGGAACAATTGTAATCCAAGCAACTGTTGATTGCATTGGTTAGGTAGTTTCTAGGCTGTGTACCACTTGAAGCTGTTAAGCAAGAGTGTGAGTTCCTTGATCAAAGCTTTGAAGCAAGATCAAGGTGTGTGTGTAGGTGAAGTGTATCTTCATTCTACGGTCAAATTGGTAACTGTTTGATATCACTGTTGTGTGATTGTAGGGAGTGAGTGGGTATACTCAGGTCTAGAGTGTCTCTAGGTTAAATTGTCATTGGGTAGGTTTTAAGTGAGGAGTGCAAACTGGAGGTTTGACTCTGAATTAATTCTACTGATAGTGAAATTTCTCCCTGGCTTGGTAGCCCCCAGATGTAAGTGTGTTGCACTGAACTGAGTCAACAACTAACTGTGTTATTTACTGCTTTGTGTTTACTGTATAACAGTAGGTCTGTCGTGAATGTCACAGTGGATGTTATAACTTCTGTTAGAACATCCATCATGGGCTGGCCAGAATTTTCAAAGGAGAAAGACTTCAAAGTTGCTTGGTAGAGGGCAACTTGTAATGGAGGGAAACTTGGCATGAAGATAAGAAATATGGCATGGCTCGGATTGATGAAGATTCGATGAAGGCTTGGATGATAACCATTAACATCTTGACACAATGAAGACTTGGAATGGAAGCTTGGATAACTTAGTCTCTTAGGCATTGTAGAATTAAGATGGTATTTTGATCACAATTCTAACAATAAAATTTGGATTCCTTGTAACATAATAATATAAATAACTATGGATTTTGAACTCAAATGAACCTTGGCAACCAAACTTGAAGTTTATTTTGAAATTGTCATTTGGAATGTTTATACTTGTTTTGTGATTTTGAATTCAAGTGATAATGTAGTGACTTGTTGAATTTATAATTCCAAGCTCTTGTTTTGAACTTTGCTTTTTGGAACGTTTGTACTCATTTGTAACTTTGAATTCAAATGATTGTAATCACTTTGAAATCACCATTCCAAACTTTGTACAATGTGAAACTTATTTTCAACTTGAAAATGTACTCTTGGAATCCACTTATTTTTGCACTTCTTGATTTTAATCCTTTGTGATCAATCTTGAATTGTAAACTTTGTACCAAATGTGTAATTGAACTTTGTAACCTAGTCTTGTATCTCATGAAAAATATTCTTTCCTTAGCTTTGGAGCTTAAGTATAAAGGTCATGCTATTCAAATTTCTTGCTTGAAGGATACCAATGAATTTATCTTCCAAATGTAGCCATGTATGGTAAGTCTTCCTCATAGCTTGTCCAATTAACAAATCAAAATCTAGATTGCTTTTGAATGAAACCACCACAACCTTTTATTCAAATTTAAACAAAACATGCAAAGGAAATTGTTAAGAATACAAAGACAAACTCAAACCATAGCCTAGCATAGATGAAAAAATCATGGCTTATTATTAGGAATCATGGCCAAATGCCAAATGATTTCCTAAAGAATGATCATCAATCTTTGCTAGTGCTTGGAAAATATGTATGAAAAGTTTGGGGTATGACAATGAGAATTGTAAAACTTGTGACAAAAGGCCTGAATTATGGCCCCACAATTGGCCAAGGAGTCACTGGGTGACTCTGGGTCACTGAAGGGGAAAACCTCGTCCCTTCTGGTATAGTTAATGACGTAACTGTCATGGATGGTATATCTATTATGCTGGGGATCGAAGGGGTCGGCACAGTCGATGTCATAATGATTGTTCCTTCCCTAGTGCTATTAGAAGGTTGTTCTCCATTGTTGTTCCAAGGAATTTCCATTCTCCTGACGTATTTCCTCACAGGTTTCCTAACTTTTCTCTTTGTTATCTTACAACTACTTAGTCTCATGCACACTCACACAATGAGAAGTTAATGAAATGAAGAACTTTATAATATAATTTTCAAAAACACAAAGTACAAATTCACACAAAAGATACCCATCGGATGTGCCAATTTGTTTACTTGGAAATTTGATAAACAAAACAAGTTTCTATTAATACTTAAGGGGTTAAACTCGTAAAATATCCTGGGACATATTTCTGTGAATTATAACCTTTGAACATCATGTCATTATTGAAATCGAAACACAATGTTTTGAAATGTAATGATTTGGAACTTAACTAAACTTGGAACGTAAAAGGTTTTGAAAACGAAAGTAACTGAAATTGAAATGTAAAATGAAAGTGAAATGACAAGAATCGAAATATGACTTGAATGTAAAAAGACTTGAATGTGAAAATACTTAAAATTTTATAAATATGGAACGCATACGTACATTTCTCACTCATTTCCCAATTACACAGATACTTTGGGTATGTAGAAATTTGGATACCATTGTGAACTCTTACAACATAGGTAAGCATCTCCTTATATACTAGTCTAAAATAACTATCTACAGTAGTCGACTAAACACGTTACGTTAGGTTGTGCTTCCATTATCTCGAGTGCCCCGTCTTTTCTAATCCACCTATGATCTAGAATTTTCCCCTTGATCGAAAGATGCATTAAACATGACACGTCGTCGAGTGTGATAGACATCTCACGAAGCAAGAGATGAAATGACGAGGTCTCAGTGTGCCATCTTTCCACGAATGCATTAAACATCTCGTGGTTGACCATAATATAACAGGTCATGCACAAGTCCTTCTTCCAAATTAAGGACAAAGCAATTTGAAACCACTCATCATTCAGTCGAGGTAAGCCAGTAATCTTCTTCCCATGGTTAATAAACTTAAATAGATCACGGTCCTGTAGAAACATAATTCTATGTCAAAATCTTGTAATATAATACCAAACATAATTTAAACAGAATGAACCTAACTAATTTCACTTCTCCGTCCCAAATATCCTGGCAGTATGGTCTGGGTACAGAGGCACCAATGACAACTCTATAGGGCCGCCTTCAAATGCCTGAGGTGGCACTGGCTCAACAACCTCATCAGCCAGAGATGCCACTAGCTCAACAACCTCATCAACATGAGGTTTATTTGGTACCTGAGGTGACACTGGTGCCTCAGGTACCACCAGTGACTCAGGTACCTCTAATGCCTGAATATGTGAAACCTGTCGTCTGCGGGAGGATGAAGGCAGTGGTGCGTCGGTAGGTGAAACCTGTCTCTTAGGGGAAGAAGAAGATAGAAAAGCATGAGCCCCATAAATAGATGCATCCGCATGAACTAGGTTAGAGTGAACTGAAGCCTTTGAAACTTAAGTCTTCTTCCTCCGGACTGATGCATGTTGTGCAATCCTCTTGTGCCTCAGTCTATCATCTCTATCATTGATAATAATTGTAAGTAAATCAAACAATTAGTACAAGCAACCATACAAACAAGAAAAGCAACAAAAAAAAAACAGACTGATAATTTATGGAGATGCATCTCCGGGTACTGGCAATCCAAACGTTGAAAAATTTCGGAGATATATCTCTGGAACTTTCTGCAACTTTTCAAGTTCGTTAATGGCAGTAATACAGACCACAAAACCCTAAAAATATGGGTCATTCGTTATTTTTAACCATCAAACACGTTCTATAGTACATATAAACTATCGTTCATGCAATTTCTACTCATTTCTGACCTAAATAATCAACTTTACTCATTTATACAAAAACTCAAAAAACTTTTTAAAACATAAAAAACTTACCAACTTAGAGTTTTACTTTAGTGTTAAATGATGTCTCTGATGTACTTGATATTGATAAAAGAATCTTTAAACTTGCTTGATTGATTTTAAACTTGATTGATCGAAAAACCTTTAAGAGAGTTTAAGAAAATTATGTTTTCTTAAAAAGAAAAAAGAAAAAAAAAAGGATTTTGGCGCGATACATAGCAAATATCATCCATCCAGAAATTTTAATCTTATTAATTATGATTTTATTTACTTAAAATGTGTCCAAAGTTATATATCAAAAAAATGAAACACATTTTTATATTTTAACATTCTGTTTTAATATAAGATACATGAAAAAATCCCCTTTCAAAAAACTTTATTTCCTTCTAACTCTGTCGAGTCACGGTACCTAAAACCTATGTAAAGGCGTGTATGGTAAACATTTTCTAATGTCACTTTCCAACCTCTGAAAGAGTTAAAAGAGCCTTCCATCATCAATCCAATCCCAAAAACACGAAAAAGTCATCTCAACCATCATTCCAACATAAACACAACCAAAAGATCCACGGAATCCAACCTTGTCCCAAAACACAAACAAATTCATCTATCTCCTCCTATAATCCGAATCTCAAGATCTCTCTTTTCCTTTCAATTTTCAAACTTTTTTATTTAGTAATCAAAATCAAAATCTACCTTCTCTTCTTGCTTTCTGAGAATTTGACACTTTCAGTTTCATTTTCTATCTTCTCCAATGGAAACTGTGTTGGATCAAGCTACTATCATTTGTTCTCACTGGTAAAACACCTCTAATTCTCTACAATTATTTTATTATTACGTAATCTATGTATAGTTTTGTGTTTATAGGAAATTTGGATTATTTGTTTGGTAGGTGAAACTAGAATCATGTGAATTGTTGTAATCTTAGAATAGAAAGAAATCTGACGATGATGATTTGTTTTTTGATTTGATGGTTTCAGTGATCGAGCTATTCCTGTTGCAAATGTTGACTTGCATAATGCTCATTGTTCAAGGAACCTTCAAAAGTGCAAAGTTTGTGGTGATATGGTTCCCAAAAAAAATGCTGAGGATCACTATTTAACAACTCATGCACCAGTATGTCATGTTTTTGTTTCTTTTATCTCAATTTTTAAGTAGTGACATTGACAAATGTGTTAAGTTCATGTTGTTAAGAAATTAATAAAAAAACAGGAAACAGAAGTTTCTTAATAATAGGGTAATCCCAGGGGTTGGCCTGATGGTGAAGCCTTGGGTCCTGAGAGTGTTACTCTCAAGGTTTCAGGATCGAATTTCGCTAGGTGCAATCAATCTCTATGTTGGATTAGTCTATACAGAGCTTTGTTCTAACCTTAAATGGACCCCTTGCAGTAGACGGTGAGATTGATCCTCTTGAATTAGTCGGTTGTAAGATTGGATACCAGGTTTTGAAAAAAATAAGGATGCAGGTTTAACCTGTGTTGTCAAATAGCGGCACTATAGTGTAGTGGATTTTGATGTATCCAGTATGAAAACCGAGACGCCGTCCTAGTTTCGCTATTAGGGAAATTGTGGATGCCATTCTCGTTTCCCCAGTTGATGGAGCAAGAATTGTGAAAATAAGAGAACTTTGTTGTATCACCGTAATATTTAAACTTTTCGGTGTATAAGTTATGTCCTCCATTCCCTTTTTTATGTGTATGCAACATGCCTTTTAATTTTTATAGTTGAGTTACTGCAATCGCTATGCGGTTTCCGCTATTTATCGGCAACGCTATATGTTATTTCACATTGCAGACTTTTGGCATTCTTGTGTAGGTTTCATGTTCATTGTGCAGTGAGAAAATGGATCGTGATGTTATAAATATCCATGAAGGTGAAAATTGCCCGAAAAGGATTGTCACTTGTGACTTCTGTGAATTCCCACTGCCAGCAGTTGATCTAGCTGAGCATCAGGTTCTGCTTACAGAAAACTTCTGAGTCAGATGATTTTATTCACGGATTTTCTTTCGCACTAATCTCAGCTTATAATACTAACCTCGCAGGAAGTATGTGGGAATCGAACCGAACTGTGTCACCTTTGTAACAAATATGTTAGACTTCGTGAAAGATACAATCATGAAGCTAAGTGCAATGGTAACATTCAAGATAGCGCTGTCGGCTCTTCAAGGTAAGAAATATCACCATTCGCGTCCACGAATTTTTAACACATTGGTTAGTTTTTTGGCTTGGAGACTAGATGATTTGTTGACTGAATTATGCAAATTTTCTAAAGCATTGGTTATTCTTTATGTTTTCTACACTAATAGGTTATATAGCACCGACACCTCTGAAAAAAGGTGTGTCTGTATCTGTGTCAGACACCTACACCAACACTTGTGATGACATTTAAAATAGGTTTCTCAGTTCAATTGATTTAAGCTGAAGATTAATTGAGTTGAACGAGATGGCTCATTGCATGTTGCTGGAGCTGGTATGATCTTGAGCTGAGAAACCCTAAAGTTGCATCATTCCAGCTGCTGCATGTCTAGGCCGGATAATTGCCTATATAGATACTTCACATCAAAAGTGTGACCAGTGTCCAACACCGATATGACACTAAGACATATAGTTTACATTTATGTATTTCACTTTCTCAAAATACGAATGTTGATGTGTCAGAGTCGTGTCAATCTCAATTCTTCATAGATAATTGTTTTCTATGCATCCAACTGATATGACACTAAAACATATAGTTACATTCAAGAATTTCACTTTCTCAAAATACAAATGTCAATGTGTCAGTGCCGAGTCCATGTCAATTCTTCATAGATAATTGTTCGTTTTTACTTGCATTGTAATAAAGCTAATGTATGCATGTTTTGTTTGAAGGAATGTGAGGGAAGCTGAAAGAGACGAAGACGTTCCACGAAGGCGGCGGCCGCGGCCGCAGAATGAGTTCTCAACTAAACTTCTTCTTTTCTCAATATCCATCATTGGTATTGCTGTTATACTTGGATCTTTCCTCCTGCAGAGAAAGGCAGATCCAAGTGAGGTCCATTAGCAACAGAGATGAAACATTTTAGCATCTCTTCTCATTTCTGCTTTATCTGTATAATCCATTTGCATGCTTCACGAGTCTTATGAGATTTACTTTTTTTTTCTTTCTAGTGTATTCATTATAACATCGGCATTGTCATCATTATATAGTTAAATTTCAGAAAACTATATATTCATAATACATTATTGAATTTGAGGATGATAAATATAGTTCTGCATTTTATGGAAATAAATTAAAGCACGTTTATAGTTTACATTTTTTTGTTTTATTTAGTGATTGAATTTTGTATTTACTTACGGGTAATCTAATAATTAATTATGATAACTTTTTTTACTTTTATTAGTTATCAATTATAAATAGTTTGTCTCAGTTTTATTTAGTAACTAAATTGTGTATTTGTATATTTAATTTTATATAATTCAAAATTTGATTATTAAATGTAACAAATGATCAATTGTAATTTTAAGTTAGTTACAACCAATGGTTGTATAGAAGTTTAGGATCTAATAACCTATAACTACCGGTAACAAATTTTAATTTAGGTAGGATATGATATGGCAAGACTACACTAAACTATGGTGTTCAGCTTCTGAATGTAGCTTTCGAATGTAGTTTGTGAATGCAGCTTCTGAATGTAACTTCTGAATGCAGTATCTACAAGTTTGTGCAGCTTCTGAAAGCTTAAGCTTCTTAAAGCTTATGCAACTTCAACACCCTCCCTCAAGCTTAGCTTTTTAAAGCTTTGGCTTCTTAAAACTTCAGCTTCTGAAAGCTTATGCAGCTTCAACACTTGTCCTCAAGCTTAGCATGATATAAATCAAACATATTAAGCTTGTAAATGAATTAATTGAAGTTTTTTGGTGGCAGTGGCTTTGTGAAGAAGTCAGCAAGTTGGGTTTGGGATTTGGTAGGTAGCAATTTGAAATCTCGAAATGCTTCGTGCGCTCGTGAAAAAACTGGATTAGTTGCAATATGGATTGCACTTTGGTTATCACAATATAGTACATGTGGCTTACTACATTGAAAATCCTAGATCCTATAACAAATAGAGAAGCCATTGAAGTTTACCACTTATAGAAGATAGTGCCCGATATTCAGCTTCAGAATAGCTACGGGAAACAGTTTGTTGTTTCTTAGCTCTCCAAGAAATCAAGGAAGAACAAATGAAGAAACAATATCATGAAGTAGATCTCCTAGTATCCAAACATCCATTCCAATCAGCACTTATAAATCTAAGAAGCTGAATATTTGAATCTTTTTACAATTACCCTCTCCCAAGTGAACCTTTCAATTATTTTATAACTCTGCAAGTTGTACCATAATGTGTAATGGTTGGTGATGCAGGGAATTGACTCAGTTGTTGTGTCACAAAAGCAATGTCGGATCGAGTGGTTGTGAGATGAAAAAATTTCTCAACCAATCGTCTATAATTATGTATGTCTTCAAAAGGTGCACTTGAATCTTGATGTAGTTTGACAAATGGATCAAGAGGAGTTTTGGCAGGCTTGGAACCAAGAAGGCTTGTGTCTTTTAACAAATTCAAACAATACTTTTTGGCATATGCTAATTCCAACTTTAGAATGTGTAACCTTTATGCCTAGAAAATATTTTAGATTTCCAAGATCGTTGATTTTAAATGTAGTGTCAAGTGTGACATTCACCCTGTTGATTTCATCCATAGAATTTCCAGCTAGGATGATATCATCCACATACACTGACAAGGAAGTGAAATGTGATTTGTGTGAAGGGTGAAAAGAGAATGGTTAGAATTTGATTGTTTGTAGCCTTGAGTACTAAGGAAACATGTCAGCTTCTTATACCATTTCCTGCTAGCTTGTTTTAAGCCATACAAAGATTTTAGTGATTTGCACACTTGATTTGGTTTGAATTGGTAACACCGTGTGGCACTGACATGTATACATCCTCCTATAAGTCTCCATGTAGAAAGACATTATTTACATCTAGCTGATGTAGATGCCATGAATTGATCGATGTTAATTCCAATAAGGTCTTAACATTAGTTATCTTAGCCAAAGGTGAAAATGTGTCAAAGAAATCAAGCCCATCAACTTGATTATAACCTTTAGCTACAAGTTTTGCTTTGTATCGTTCTATGGAGTCATCAACTTTAAGTTTCGCTTTGTAAACCCATTTGCTTCCAACAAGTTTGACAATGATGGAGGATAAAAAAATAATCCAAGTTTTGTTATGCTTTAAAGCCTCTAGATCAGAGTTCATGGCTTTGACCTCAAATTTCAGGCTTGCTTGCCTCTTTGTAACTATCTGGCTCAGTTGGCACAATGATAGACAAAGCAAGTGTTGTTGTGTAGTAGAAACATTATTTAATGAATGCAAGTTTTCAATATGATATAGTATACATGGGGAATGATGAAAAATTGATTTCTTTGAAAGATTGCATATGAAATCTAATAAATGGCCATACTTTTGAGTAGGTCTATTGGATCTTCTCGAAATATATGGCTCAGGAATGGTTTTAGGTTGAGGTGTATCAATAGCATGTATTAATGCATGATCAACATCAGTTTGGTCAATTGGAGTTATGGTTTGGTGATCAGTAGCAGTAAGAATTATGACATGGTCAATATGAACATTATGATCATGGTGATATGTCCAATTGAATGGTAGATTTGGGCTATACTAAGGAAGAACATGATCATGGTGTATAACATGTCTAGAGACAAAAATAGATGTGATATTTAAGTCAAGAATTACAACACCTTTGACATTTTGCTTGTATCCCGAAAAAACACCCTTTCTAGCTCTAGAGTCCAGTTTGGTTATATGGTTTTGTAAGGTGGTAGCATAGCAGAGGGATCCAAAAAAATTTAACTCGAAAGTGAGGTTCAGTTCCAAATCTATGAAAGAAGGGTGATTTTCTCTGAAGTAAAGGACTATGTATGCGGTTTATGAGGTAGGTAGCATGAAGAATGGCATAAGATCAAAAGTGTTTTAGTAACCTAGACTGAAAAAGCAAGGCTCTTCCTACATTTAAAATATTTTGATGTTTTCTCTCAACTCTCCCATTTAGTTGGGGATTTGAGAGAAATGTGTTGAGAAAATCAAAACCATTATTTGTCCCAACAATTTTAGCTTTGAAGCTATATTTGTTTTCAATCATAAGTATGAAACTTTGAACAATATGAGTAACTTAAGATTTTTTTTTACAAAGCATAACCCAAGTAAATATGTTGTAATCATCAAGAGAAGTTATGAAATGTTTCTGGCCATGTATAGACATAATAGACAAAGGACCCCAAATATCCAAATGGATCAACTCATAACATTTGAGTAGCTTTATTTTCACTAAGTTGAAAAGGAATTTTTGTATGTTTTGCATAATGGCATATATCACAAACATGCTTCTTGTCTATAGTTACAAAAGGCATGTGTTTATGTAAACTACTAAGTCTCCTATTTGATATGTGGCATAGTCTGAAATGCCACAGAGTTGTCTTGGGAAAAAGGTGAATTGAGGTGGAACTTGTGATGTGGTGATGTTGGCTTGATGTGAGGCTTGTGTGATGACACGATAATACAATCCTTCAACTGAATTAGATGAACCAATCATCCTCAAGCTCTTCTTTACCTAAATTGAGAACTTTGCATTATTAAAATTCACTACACAATTAAGATCAAAACATGATTTTGGAACTGACAATATATTTAAATTAAACTTAGATAAATACAGAACATTGTGCACTGTGGAACTTACTGAGAAAATAATAGTTCCAAAACCTTTTTCCATTGCCATATTAGCATTAGGTAATCTAGTGTTAACAATTGTTATATGTTGATAAGAATCGAAAAGTTTCATGGACGAACATATATGTTCACTAGCACCAGAGTCCTTAATCCATGATCCAATGTTAACATGATTCAAAGAATGACAAATTTTGGAGATACTTGATGTAACATTAGGATTATCATAAGAGGCCATGTTCACTTTGCTAAAGGATGCACCTGAATTTCTAAGGGAGCTTGATGAATGTAGAAAATTCATAGGCTGATCATATTGATCTTTGGTGAAAGTGTAAGAATAGTTTCCTTTATAACCTACTGAATCATCAACGTCATCTTTCTCTTCAAGTGAAGAATTATTAGCCACAACATTGTCTTTGCCAAAGTAAGGAGGAAAGCCATGCTTCTTATAGCATGTATCAACTGTGTGTCCATTTTTCTTGCACGCTTTCTTATACCCAAAGGATGAGAAACCATTGTCACATCCTCTTCCTTGAGACTTCTTGTAATCAATAATATTAATTAGAATCTTGGATTCATCAGAAAACAAGACTTTAATTTGTTGTTCATGTTGTATCACCATAGAAAAAATTGTGTTGATGTTAGGTAAATGATTCATCAATAAAACTTAAGAATGAACCATATCAAACGAGCCATTCAAGCCAATAAGAAATTGAATTGAGTGTTTAACTTCATGTTGTTGCTTAGTATTACTCAAGCTCGTGTTGCATATACAACGATGTGGACACGAGCATATAGGAATAAGAAAGTAGGCTTCAACTTCTTCCCAAAGAACCTTCAAAGCTGCAAAATACTCAAAAACCAACCGTGAACCTCGCTTCAAAGCAAAGATTTCACATTGTAATTCAAAGATACGAATGTAATCACCTTGTGAAAAACTCTCCTTGAGTTCATCCTAAACATCAATGGCGTTTTCAAGAAAAGCGATACTTTGTGTTATGTATTCTTCAACATAATTCACAACCCACGTGTGTACTAACATCTTGCAGCGATTTCAAGCTTTAAAACTTAGATCAAAATCCTCTAGGACTAAAATGGAACCATCAACAAAATCAAATTTGTTCTTTCTTCCGAGCGCACGTTGCATGGATCTTGCCCATCCATGATCATTCGAATATGTTAACACAGGTTTAACCAAAATAGAAGAAGATCCATCTAAAGGATGAACATAATACACATTTCCAGGTTGTTGCGACGAATTTTGAATTGGAGCACCGAAGACA